GGTACATTGGAAAAACTGGTGCAATAGATAGGTGTTCTGCCTATTCGTGGGAAGAGGGGTTCAGCTGTGCTTCAAAGGGCTACTTTTCTCTTGCTGTGTGATGGGTACATTTATTTTAGACTACTGAGGACTGTGTGGAACAGACATTGCACTCGGGCCCTGCCATCAGAAATGGTACAGTGCAGGTCTGATGGGACTGGAAACATAAATGGTCTGGTCTTGTGAGACACAGGAGAGCTACAGGGCCTCTGGAAATAAAAAGACCCATCACTTGCTTTTTTCTTTTCTTTTTTCCTTTTCCAAGTCTAGTGGAACTGTGTTTTCTCTCCCCATGGTTGCTCAGCTATCAAGAGTTTAAGCTTCTGGTACTAGAGCTGAATGTCAGGCAGCTGCTAGGAACTGGACATAGCTACTCTGAGAGCTGCCTGGGGTAGGATTTTATTTTAAAGTGTCTCACTAAAGCATGAAAATGTGAATTTTTATCATTGTATATATATCAGGATTGAAAATATTTAAAAGTCTATTCTTCTCTATGAGAAGGTTTGTTATTAATACAAGGTATATAGAAACGATTGCCAGCCTTCTCTTCCCTCAGTATTTCCTGCTGATAAGACATTCTTGGATCAGATTTGTTGTCCATGATAGATTCACAGCTGATGAGGTAAATTATCTAGCTGAGAATACATAAGCACTTTCTGAGTGAAATGGGAATATATGCATTTTTAAGAGAGAAAAAGAAAACACGTCCTTTCAGTTAAGAATATTAGTTTTCAGTATATGTATATACTAAAAAAACCAGATTTTATTTATATTCTGAGAATGTTTCTCTGTATAACACGTGCGGGCCTCTCCGAGTACTTTGGCCCCCAGTCTGCACACCTTAGGCACACACTTAACAACGCCCATCACAGTAGTCCCTCTCTTGCCAGGGAGACTCCCTACATGTAAAGCTAAGGACATATAGAAGTGCTTTCAATATCAGGGCCCAAAACTTTCAACTCCTGGTTAATAGTCATAATATTCACTTTAGTTAAAGCATCACCGATGTAATAAAGGTATTTTTTCATAACATTTATCATTTTACTTTAAATAGTAAATAGAATTTTATGACTGTGTAATCTGATACTCCATCAAATAAATGTAAAAACCATGGAAGCAGAATCTTCATTTAAAGTATAGATTATATAGAACTATATCTTGGTCTTGAACACCTTGAAAAGCATTTGTTGCTAGAGTTTTTATGGCAAACACATCACCAAAACCAGCTGTTAACCACTGACAAAAAGAAGTTTTGTGTTTTTTGTTGTAAGGGTTAGATCTTGTTCCAGAAACACTGTGTATCAAAATAATTCTGTACAGATATCTGGAGGATGTTTTGTCAAATACTAAGCATGTTATGCTGCTTAAAGTGTTTTCATGTGAATGCTATATTGTAATGAAAATCTTGAGCCTTATGTTGATATGTTTAAGCAGTTGTACCGACCAAAGTAATTTTGGGGATCACAATTAAATGGAAATGTTCTGCTTGATCTCAGACGTTTACATGAGTCTGCCATTCAGTGCCAAGTCCTCACCTTAACAAGCCTCCCATCTTGGAGTGCTCTGTGCTCAGTTACTGCCAAAACATACTTTGTCCTGTAAGTTTCCAAAACACCACAGCATGATCACCATCAGCAAGAGGTAGCCATCTTCAAAAATGTTCCCAAGAACACTGACATAGAGCCATAAAAATTCTTTAAGTAAGCAAACAAAGAAAAACATTGTCCTTTAATGGGGGAGCAGATGAGCTTATTTGCCTTCATATGTATAGAAAGTGAAGTTAAATCTCTACACAAATATTTGCAGCAAAAGCCAGTTTTCCACCAGTTAAGCTGGAGAACAGATTACCCAAGTTCCTACTGCAGTTACAGATGGAGATCTGCCTGAATTCTTTGCAATTAAACCACTTAACTATGATCTGTTGCTTACTAATTACCAACAAATAGAATAGACTCGCCATACTTCCCAAGACAGGAAATAGCACCTGGCAGAGCAGGAAGGTGGGACTGCTACCTGCAGCTAACACCACATGTACCAATATGGGACCACACCTTTGCAGCTGGCCCAAAGCAGCACACCAATGTTATTGGTACTGTATGCAATGACAGAATTAAACATCTACAGTGTATAATTAGTTTTTAAATAAGCAAGGGTTTATTATTTTTATTTTTTAATTATTTCATTAATATGATTTTATTATTCTTTATCATCATTACTGATGAGAAATACATGTGGCGTGAAAAGAGCTTCAAGGTAACGAAGACCATCTGAAGCAGCTGACCTTCTAGCTTCCCTCAGCAAACATATATGATAAGCCTGAGGTGTTCCTCCTGCCCACAGCATTCCGGGTGTGTCAAGTAGTGGACTGGATTCGCAGCACACATCATCAACACAAATCCATGATTCCCAACCAGCCCACAGATTGCAAAGTCTCCTGAGCAATACTAGAATTGCCACAGCTCCATGGCAGTGCACAAAGGCAAAATGGGAGCACCTCGGCTGCCCAGTTGCAAACACAGATGGCTGTTCAGGAGCAGTCCAGCTAAAGGACTGGGCAAGCATGCCTTTTTTTAGGGTGACAAGAATATTACACCTCTCACCTCACCCACAGTCCGCTCAGGTTTAGCACCTTCCTCCAATGCTGACCACAAACACATTGCTGAATTATATTTCTCAGTCTCCCTGAGCACAGTGAGTCTCATAAAATAAAGCTTCAAGTTTGTAGAGTATAATTTGCTACAGGGAGGTTAAACAGTTATTTTCGTGCAAGGTATTATGAGTAGTTCTACATATTCAAAAGGGCTTCCCTTCTCACACACAGTTGCTCCCCTACATTCCCAACCCCCAGAGATCCATATTCCCTCAGAATGGCCTTTCACATCTGCATCCACCTTCACCGCTCTGTGTTCACAGAAAATGCACTGATTTACCATTCAAAATCTCCTCATACCAAACTTGTATCTGACTCCACCCTGCTAGTCCTGTGACTGGCATGCCCCCTCCCTCACTTCCAGCAGTCTGTCCTGCCCACACATCCCAACCACTTCACCAAACCTTTTCCATTCAGAGGCATTGCTAGACCTCTTGACCCTGCTACCACACCCCAAGCCCCAGCCCTAACTCAGTTTAAGCCCCTGTCTTGTTGCATAGCTTGGAGGATCCACCCACTACAGGGAGGATGAGAGCCAGTATCTGTACAAGACAGTAGTTTCTGTGACAATCTGTAGATTAATTTGAATCTTTGATCACTAAGTTAGCCTTATGAACGATTTAGGGTGTAGGATATACTGTGAGAGGACTTGGACTCTATGGGTGGGCTCCAGGATCCTGCTTTAAATCAAGGATATACATTCCTGCAGTCTGCAAGACCAGCACTACCCGACCCAAACTGGCGCTACAGGCGCAGTGCCAATGCACTAACAAGATCAATGTAATCTGCCATCTCCAAATGCCACCAGCCAGCATCCTAACCAAAGAAGCTTCTGAAAGCTTTTAGTTTTGCTCCTTGACAAAACAACAAACCTATTCTACCTAAGGCAGATTTACCATTAGAGCTACCAATTATGACCAGGCCCTTCCACTCCCAGGCCTTGGTCTAGATCTGGATCTACTGGATCTGGAAACCAACTGAAGTCTAAATTTCCTGCTTTGTGAACCCAAAGTTAACTCAATCCCCAGTCCTAATCTTTCTCATTGCTCATTTATCCTCTACAATCCTTAAAGCTCCTAGCCTTGTGACTTAAAAAATCAGCCTGCAAAACCAGGCCAGCATGACCCAGCAGTCATCCATTCCCAGCAGCTCCTCTGGTTCTGAATTAGCCTTCCCTGGAGATACCACAGCCCAAGGTGGCTGCAACCTGCCAACAAACCAAGCCCACATGCTTCTGCTTTCCTGTGCCCCAGTCCTCGCTGTGGTCATTATAGTTTTATAGCTACTGTATGACCTCAAAATAAATTAAGATAGCACCTGCCCTCAACACAAGTTTTTTACCTTCTTCCCCTTGTTTTTAGGATTGAGAGGACCTTGTATGGCCAGGCAAGTTTCCAGTGTTACCTCTCTGATGTTGATCCCCAACACCAAGAAATATTCAGACAACTTCAGACAACTTTCAGAAATTAGACGAGTAAATCACTACATTTGCTTTTTTCCTCCTCCATGATTACTTTTAAAACCCAGTATCTCGTGGTATTATCAAATTAGAGTCACTGTTGTGTTATCTGATCCATACTTTTTTGTTTACCCTCTAGTATTGTCAGAAAGGATTTATTCTCTCTCAGTATAATCTATGTTTAAGTTTTTAAGAAATACTTACCTCCCTCTATAAGAGTGGAACTAACATGCCCAGTTTCAGCATTTGAAGTTAACTGCCAGTCAGTCACCCTGAACTTCCCTTGTAGTCAAGGGAAATAATTAGGCACCTTGGGAGGCTGATTCAACTAATTCTAAGATACTTATCTAACACAAGGCATATGAATAGCCCTCTGAGGCTGTGTATTTCTTTCCACTGGATATAAAGGGACTCAAAGGGAAAAAACACATTTAAAGGTTTAACTGTAGATTTTTAAATCAAGCAAATTAATCCACCTAACCTGCTGTTGTTCCTGTGCTTTCCTCTTAAACAACACTACAACATTTGAGCATTTTAATGTATGATTCATATGGAAAGCAAACATATGGAAGCTATTGCAGTCACTGCCACTACTCAGGATGAAGAACAATAAAATAAATTCCTGATGTGAAAGGGGGAGTGTCACAGATACCCTATTTCAGATAACATCTCCTTTTGCTCCCCTTAAAGGCTTAAAAGCATCAAGTGAGATGTCTTTTTTAAATTTTTTTTACTATAACACATTAACGTGTTTCCCAGAGACAGAAGCCAATTATTAAATGAGGAGCATTCCGAAATGGGCAATAACACTTATTTTTGTTATAACCAAAAGAATAAACAGACATCACTAAGTAGCAGAGAAGTCAGTATTTTAGTCAAACAGATCCAGAAAGTTCCATACATGCAAAACATAGCATACTGTACAAAAAACAATGTTAAAATCATACATTTTTAAACTTCTTCCCAGTTTGAGAATAACAGTGCCACGAGAACTTATCTGCTCTACAGTGCTCCACAAAACACCACAATTCTGACAATACCTAGTATTCATAACCTAATCTTATCAAGAAGGAAAACACACATTGGTGCAGAGGATGGAAAGAACCACCCCTAGAACCCGGTGTAGCCGTTCTGCCTGATGGTGTAGATGCACAGCCCTCTATTAGTTTGCCCCTGCAGTGCTGAAGTCAATAGCAACTTTGTGGATCATTTCAGTGGAAACAGATTCTGTGGTAACATGGGCCTCTGAGAGGAGGGAAACTCCTTCCTTTATGAGTAAATACAGAACACTGATGCAAGTTTAAAGCGCAGAGAAAGAAAAGATGTGGTGGATATAGCTAAGCTCCTTCAAAATGAAAACACGCCCTAGAGTATCTCACAGATTTCCTTTTCTAGCCAGAGAACGTCTTGTCTTCAAAGAAATCTGTCCAAATCCTTCTCATGCTAACTCTTCTCATGACTGACTAGATTGTATGTATAATTTATGTTGATAAGAGAAATAAGATTAAAAAATCCTTCACCTGTAACAATTTAAACTGTCAAACCATATCTTAATCAAATGCCTACTCAATAAGCATTTAAAATCTATTTCTGTTGAATGAACAAATAAAAATGTAGGATGACATTTTACATTTCTTAAAAAATTTCAGTCAATGTAATTGTAATTATTTTGAATACTCGGAAGATATTAAGAAATGTAACTTTGTGTGTGCTTGTGCAAGCACATGCAGAGGGCATGGATGGAGAGAGAGAGAAATTTATGAAATGGAAGAAGCAGATGCAGGAGGTTATGGCTGAGGCAGCAGCCGAGGAGGACATGCTTTGAAGATACCCACCATGGATTTGTGAAGACAGAGACTGTTGACTTAATAGAGACTGATTCAAGTTGTTAATACAAGTTAAATATTTATTATACCCAGTTTATACCAAATGGTATTGTTATTTTCCCCTCACGTTTTATCCCCTATTTTTTGATTGGTTGTGAGTTGCTGCATTGCAGATACTCCCCTCATTGGCCCCCACTAATCCTCTGGTCCCTCCTTCCTCTCAGGATTGGTTGTTGTTCCTGCCTGTCCTATGCTCCTCCCCAATTTCTAGAATCTTCCCATGTGACCCTACAAATAGAGCTAGCGCCCTAGAATAAAGTTGCAATAGCTTTGAGCTACCACTCTGTGTGAACCCCCTGGCTGTCGCGTCTTCCTTTTCTCAACGACTGTGACAAGCACAGATCTAAAAATTCACACATACAAAAAACCATATTATTCAGGAAGAATTTTCCAAAAATTAATGAAAACTTAGTAAGTACAATATATGGCAATTAAGTTTTTGAAAGGGATAACTAATTTTTGCAAACATTGTAAGTGTCCTCTTAAATAAAAATACTCTGATATCAGATATACTAAAGTATGATTTGAGATAATTTTTCTGCAATACATTTTCTATTGCAAAAACTACTGTGCTTCTCGAGCAACATTATTTTCTTTTAAAACAGGTTATTTTAAAATTAGAAATCAGACTTGAAAAAGGCAAAGTTGAACTGATTTCAAAAGGTTTCACTCGTCTACAAAATTATTTTTCAAATGTCATCAAACAAAATGTTATCTAAATCAAGTAAAAATGACATGTTCCCAATCTTGAATTATTCAGGAATTCCTCAGTTGACCATTTTTTCCAGTACAGTTAGGATGCAACCATCTCTGCCATGTCTCCAAGACAATGAAATGAGAGTAATCTCAGCACAGAGCACATCAAAGCAACAGCCTGACTTACTTTCTCTGAACTGCCTGTGTGAGGAACCAATTGCCACCTTCCCCTAAAGAAGGATCAACACTGAAAAAATCTCCTACAGTATGCCTCTACATTAACACCATGTGAATGCCCACCATAGCATCCAAAATCCAAAAAGGATGAAAAGTAATGCTGTCCTGAAAAACTGGTTCACTAAGAACATATTTTAGTGGCAGGTCACAGGAATTAGGAAAAATAAATTTACTCCCTTTATCAGATTAGCCTCACTAGGAAAGAAAAGGCTAAACACAATACCCCTCAGCCATACCTACTTCCTACTCCCACCATTTTACTTTCGGTGAGGTCTGCAGCACAGCACTCAAGATAAGGGAAGGCCAGTTTCAGTCTCAAACTTAATGTTCTTTCTTCTGGTGAAACATTTAGTAATAAGTAAGCATTCAGGGGTTTGTTTGCTATAGATTTCCTTTAATCTAATCAGTGTTTAACCCATTCACCTATGAAAGCAACATAGAGGTTCCTACTTGATTTCATAAGACTACAAATCAGAAACCAAATCTGTCACACATACACACACATGCAAAATAATAATCCATCTCTGCTTCATACGAAACTATCTCAAAGAAAAAGTAATCTTAATGCGAATAAAGACTGCTGATAACAGTTCAAACTTAGACTGGAAGATAAATAATGTTAATTAATAATGATTGAAGTAATTTTTAAAAATTCCTTTTTCTTTTTGTGCATGTTTTGGCTGGGATGGAGTTAATTTTCTTCACAGTGGCTAGTATGGAGCTGTGGTTTGGATTTGAGCTGGAAACAGTGTTGATAACACAGGGCCTTTTCCATTATCAGTGCTCACACAGTGTCGACATCTCTTCCTGCTCAACCCACTCAACCAGCAAGGATGCTGGGGGTGCACAAGAAGCTGGGAGGGGACATAGCCAGAACAGCTGACCCCAACTGACCCCAGAGATATTCCATCCCAAATGTCACCATGCTCAACACACAGAACTGGAGGAAGACAGTGGTAGGGGAAGGGAGGACATTCAGAGTGATGCTGTTTGTCTTCCCAATGTTTGTTACACATGATGGAGCCCTGCTTTCCTGGGGATGGCTGACTACTTGCCTGCCCTTGGGAAGCAGTGGATGAATCCCTTGTTTTGCTTTGCTTTTATGGGCAGCTTTGGCTTTCCCTATTAAACTGTGTGTCAGCCCACAAGCTTTCTCCCTTTCACTCTTACAATTCTCTCCCCCATTCCACCAGGAGGGAGTGGGCAAGTGGCTGCATGGGGCTGAGCTGCCAGCTGGGGATAAACCACAACACTTTCACAGTTTAAATAAAAGCTTCCGAATTACTGGAAAAATGTAGACATCCACTTGTAAAATTATGAAATACATCAAGATGAAAGCAGCTGTTAGAACACACTTAAGCATTTTAAGATTACATTTGTTCACAAGATTTTCAGAATCAGCTCTTGGTTTTCTTCTCCAAAAACATGGGTGGAGCAACAACTCGGGTCATTGATTTTTTAATTTACAAAAGAAAACTAACTTCAATTCTTTAACTTTTGTAGGTTCTCCTACCACTAAAAGAAAACAAACAAACACAAAGCAAGACAAATACAATAAATAACACTAGTTCTTAAAACAGGATGGCAACCCATAAGGCTGCCCTATCGGGCTCTGATGAAGAGGGTTTCATCAGGAGTTGTGGGACAATTGTCCTTCTCAGTAACAGTCTCTACTGTACCTGAAGCAGATACAATCACTGCCGTTTTAGCTGCTGAAAGAGCTTTCTCCTTCTCTGCGATGGCAGCACATACTGCCACAATTTCATCACTTTCAAAGTCATAGTCAGGGATTGGTTCTTGTGCAAGCTCCTTTTCTTTCACTAGTGCTTGCACTGACTCAGTCTTTGTTGCCTTCTGCTGTTCATGTAGTTTTCTGGCCCAGGAAAGGTCCTCTTTCCATACTTCAGGGTTCATTGGAAAGATGTGTAAGGATATCTGGAAACTTCGGATTGCCTATAAACAGAAGAGGGAAGAAACAAAGATTGGACACTCTAAAGTCTACCTATTTCATCATAAAAATTGACAACAGCAAAAAAATTACATACATCATTCACTCAAAGACAAAAACCATTTTACTCTAATCTGTCTTTACTGGAGCAATGCTCCCTCAGCTTACGTTCCATAGCAGCATCACTCCCAAACAACTGTGTCTGAAAGTATGAAAACACATAAACAAAACAGATACCTGGCAACAAAGGCACAAATAAAGAGTTCGTGTATACAAAAAACAATATTGTAATTAAAAAGGTAAAAGCAAAAATAATTTTTTGGTTTGATGGTTTTCTTTTCCACGTCTCTCTCATCATCAGATGTATGGAAAGGCAAAAGCAGATATGGTTTAAAGAAATATAGAAAAGGTATGACTGGAATTTAAAGTATCACTAATATTACTGCTTTTAAATTAGCATACAATCACTTCATATACAGACCTAATACTACAAAAATACTAGCCCCATGACAAGCAGTTTCTGTAACAGGTTTGGGCTTGCAAAAACACCTACATAAATGGGCAAAAGTATGCAAATAAACTCTCAACTTAGAGAGTTCCTCTCAGAAAGAACTCCTATAATCTCATAAACCATGTAATATTAGTACATATAAGTACAGTTGATACTGATTCTCCTTTCATGCAGTTCAACTAGGAAAAGACTCAGAAATCTTCAGCACATAAGTTGTTAAATATATTAAAAAAAAAGTGACCATCTAAATCCAGTAGATGTGCTATTCGACAGTAAAAAGAGGTTGCTACAATACTGGAAAAAAGCTAGACCAAGCATTACAAATGTATTGCATTTTAGTTATTTTAACAGTGAAAAGGTAAAGACTGACCTTACTTACTCAAACATCTGTACAGAGACGTGTGTATTTCACATTTATGACTGTACAGACAGATATGAAAATGGTCATGGTAGTGACCAAACTCTTGTGTGATAACATACAGAAGCCTTCCTATAGACTGGGAAAACAGTGATTATATGGATTATTATATAGATTTGGATTATATTTGAGAAGAGTTCTAGCAATTTGCATATTAAGACTTTAAAGACATAAGAACAACCATCAGATTCCATATTCTATTGTAATTTATAAATACTTAAAGCATGAAAATTAATTTGCAAAATCACAAGCTTTCGTCTGCATTGACAGAAATTGACAGTTTGTACTTCTGATGGCACAGAGAAATATATGAACCCTGTATGACATGAACTCAGAAGACAAGGGATACAAATCAGATTTAAGAAATTATGATTATGCTACCAGTATTACTGCTGTTGTAATAGGTAGCCTTTCAGTTCCGGGGAAAAAAAAAAATACTTTGATTATTGGTCAACAGCCAGCTCTGAAGTGTAGGAGCATGCTGAACTTTAAACAGAAGGAGGAGTGCAGTTTAATTCTTGTAAACCAGTGTCATTTTATTCAACTCCGCTAGCTTTTAATTTTCAGGGATAGATGAACTCCAAGTAAACACTAAATGCTCTTTTTTGTATTTCTGTTGAAAACAAAATATAAACAAACACCATCTGCTCTTAAGCTTTCCATGGAAGAGGTCCCCTAATTAAAGCTTGTCTATATAGTTACATTCAAGCACAATAAACAATGTTAAACACAGTAATTAACTATAAGGTAAGCTTTGAAAAAAATCTTACCAAATAAAGCTTTGAAGCTGCTTTGATGATTCATAAAGCATAAAAAGATCATCTTAGTAAATCAATTAGAAGAAAGTTTTTGTGTGTGACATTTTTACAAAGAAATAATAAAGTAATAAATTTTTAAGCGCTGCAAAAGATCAGAGGGATTAATTTGAAAGCAGCAATGTAGTACTGAAAAATACAGACTTGTCATCCATATAAAATTTTACGCTGCCACTGCAACTGCACCTGAAGCCACTAATTTCTTTTAAGACAGAAGAAAAGAAGAGTGCTACTTCTAAATCTCCCCCTAATGGATGTGTAAATCTCCTTTGCCAACTGCCTGTTTTATTATAGGAAAACATGGTGACAAGTAGATTAAACTGGTATTTCTAGCCTCATTTTAAAGGGCAACTGTGGTTTCAGAGATCCCACATATAAGGACTAAAGGACTTTAGATCAGTACATAGTCATGTATCTGGTTTTGCTTCTGCAGGGAGGTGCAATGTAAAATCTACTGCAAGACATTTTTGCTTGTGGAATTAAAATATTTGAAAAATTCGTATTTTTGAAGTATTTTACATTTTATCTCACTAGACAGTATTCAGTAGAAAACAATCTTTCATTTGTCCCATGAGCAGTCTCTTGTGCTAGTCTGCACAGTCTTTCAATGTGAAGAGCAGTTTTGATCAGACTACAGTTTTTACAAGTTTTTATAACACATGGACTTATCAACTGTTACTATACAGAAACCCCTAAAAAAGGTAAGGGAGCATTTTAAGAGGTTATGCAGTTTGCATCTGCCACCAAAGCATGTATTAGGCCTTTATATTACACCTGACAGACAGTTTCTGACCTATTTTAAAGGATGTCCACCAATGAAGATATGCATACATCTACAAACAATCTTCTTCTGTGTTTAATGATTTTTAATACGGATTTTTTTTGTTCAGTTGTTTTTTGTTTTTACAGCATTCAACACAGTACTTGGGGGTAGTGGTGCATGAAAACCTGGACATGAGCTAGCCATGTGTGCTCACATCCCAGAAAGCCAACAGTGTCCTGGGCTGCATCCAAAGCAGAGGGGGCAGGAAGTCAAGGTGATTCTGCACCTCTGCTCTGCTCTGCTCTGGTGAGACCCACCTGGAGCACTGCATCCAGCTCTGGGGTATGAGTACTTTTACCTTGCAAATCGGAACACTCCAGGAGACTAGAAAACATTCACCTCTCTATTACCAAATTGTACTGCTAAAATTATTACAGGAATTTCAAAACAATTGTACAACAAACTTTCTGTCTCATCCCAGTTTGTCTTATCTTGTGCATCTGTTTTAGCTAGCACTTTTAATTACAAGGTCAAAATGTTCAGAAATGTACTTCTCGAAAGTTCTGAGCATCTGCCAAAGATGCTCAGAAGACACCAGATATATCAGTTGCAATCACTTGCGAGAACTCAGTACCCCTGGCAGATATGTACCTGAAAAGGGCATTTCAACTTTTGGAGACTTGCTTGCCCTTCTGCTTTCTTGATGGAAAATCTGATTAGAAAATCCTTTCATTCATTAAAAGTTATTAGGTGGGTTAACACAAAACACATTTATGATTTCCAACAGCAGTTGGGGAAAAAAAAAAAAAAAGGATTACACTTCAGGACTAACATAGGGCCTTTCTGGGAAAGTAATATTAATGGCTATTACCTGTAACTCGGTAGGACTGTTAAAATCTGTTGCAAAGAATATAACAGAACCCCACTTTAACTGACAAAGCATGGCATTTTGTCTCTAACTTAGTATTTCCCAAATACTTTGGCTTTTCAGTGGAAGGCCAACCATTAGCTTCCTTTTGATTACCAAAATCTTTTACATGTCTAAATGCTAACATTGGTAACATTTTGAAAAATTATCTCGAATTCAGAATTAAGTTATGTTAATTAGCTGGATTCCAATAAAACATTACTCTCTTTGGGAGCACATAACTCCCATCATTATCTAAAATACCTAAAACTATTTCTTTCAAGAGAAATAAAAGGACAGGGCTGATCTGAGTATTCATATTGTCAAGGCTTGACTCCTTTGACAAAATGTTGTGTCACACATAAAGACTGCTAAGTCACTAACTGTTTAGTAAGAATACAACAAACCACATCCTTCAAAACATCAAACAAAAAGCAAGAAAAAACTTGTGCATATTTACACATCTACCCAGTTCACTTTGTAATCCTCAGTACTCCAGATCTTACAGGGACCCAGAACAGGGTCAGTCACAGAATCACAGAATGGCTGAGGTTGGCCAGGACCTTCTGAGGCCACCAGGGCCTATCCCCTGCTCCAGCAGGGCCACCTGGAGCTGCTTGTCCATGACCATCTCCAGACGGCTGATGAATTTCTCCATCGTGGGAAACTTGTTACTTTTGTTTGGTCCTCTCTTGTTTGGGATTTTTTAATGCTGCTTCTGTTTGGGCTGTTCTTTTTTTCCTGTTTAACCAAAGTATGGGGCCTACTCTGTTTCACAGGAAGAGCTGTTCTAATGAAGCTATGTGAACGTTGTTACTGGTTAAGATGTCATCACCAATACAGTAAATATAAGTTGTTAACCCAAAAATTTACAATTAAATGAAATATTGAAAGCCTGACTAAATTTCTACGGTTTCTACATTCACTGCAAGTTTACTCAGTTGTGCTCTGCACAATGATTTGTAGAATTCAAGGAATTTCTGCCTTTACAGAAATAAAGTTCTCCTAGTTCACATTTAAGTAGCACTGTTGAATTAACCTATTTAGTCAATTCAGAAAAAAAAAAACCAACAACTTTTTAAAAAAGTAAAATAAAAAGGGACTAATTTACGTCATTCTTTCTATCACAAGTTTGACAAAAACTAAATCAAAACAAATCTTTATTTGCAAAAAATGAAAATATTAGACAGTTCATAAATTAAATTAGTTTGGAAGCTGTATTTTAGACCTGGGAAACTTCAAATTAAAATACAGTCATTTTTTTCCCCCTACAAAAAAATGCATCATCCATTGTGAAGTAATAAAAATATTTACAACAGACCATTTGGCAAGATGAGGGTAATGAAGACAGACACTGGTGGGGGAGAAATGAAACAAAGAAACAGAAGAAGCTGCTTTTGAGAAGGGTACTAATTCCCAAATCTCAAAAAAAACCTAAAAAGCCCTTACACTTATGCTTGATTAATTTTTCTTTGTAAAAAATATAATACAGGGAAAAATTAGAAAATCACGGCAATGAAAGACTAGCAGAAAAAGATAATTATGACTTAGACTACATGGCCAAGAAGGCTCCACAGGTTCAATAATTATGAACTCATTTCATATTTTAAACTCCTTCAGTCTTAACCTTTTAAAATTCCTTAAAAATTGCTTGGTTGACAAATCAATAGTGAACATTGTCTACATTTTTGGACAACTCCCCAAGTTCTTTGTATGTGAGAACATATTAATCAGAATCCATTCTGACTGGTGTGATATGATTTGCCTATGTAGGCAAAGCTTACAGGACCTAGTGAGCAGACCTGGTCGTACATGTAGTATGGATATATCACTATTTATAACTGATATTACAGCAGCTGTAGCTTTTTTTACAGAATAAGCAGCATTAGTTACCCAGGACCCTTGAAAGAAATAAAACTTTGAATTTCCTGTGACTAATGCATTTAGAAATCTTGGACATAATTTACAGCAAAGGTTTCATCCCTTCCTTAAAGGCAAAAGATTCAGACAGAACAGACCATCTACCCTTACCTTCTACACCACAAAAGCCATGGAATGTCACCAGTGTTGTAATGCAGATATGCATGGATTTATATGATATATTTCATATTATGATACTACAACAACAAAGGGAGCACTCTGCACATCAGCAACGTTTTGTCTATGGAGACTGGAGCACCTCCCCTATGAAGACAGGGAAGCTCGGGCTATTCAGCCTGGAGAAGAAAAAATCACAGAGAGACCTCATAGCAACCTCCCAGTAACTGAAGGGGGCCTACAGGAAGCCAGAGAGGGACTCTTCATCAGGAACTGTAGTGATAGGACAAGGAGCAATGGGCACACACTGAAAGAGGGGAAATTTACGTTAGATTTTAGGAAGAAATTGTTTATTGTGAGGGTGGTAAGGCACTGGAACAGCTTACCCAGAGAAATTGTGGATGCCCCATCCTTGGCAGTGTTCAAGGTCAGGGTGGACAGGGCACTGAACAACCTGGTCTAGAGGGTGGTGTCCCTGCCCACGGCAGGAGGGTTGGAAATAGATGATCTTTAAGATTCCCTCCAACCCATACCATTCCATGATTCTGTAATTCTAGGTTATTCCCATTGTTTGGGTTTGTTTTGGTTTGTTTGTTTTAATACTGCTCCTTACTATATTTTAAAAGTTAGTTTTTTGGGTTTGAAATATAACCAGTATCTTTTCTTATCTGAGAGCTCATGATGAGTTATTCTTCTAATGGACTTTTGTTAATGTATCTGAATTTAAAAGGTCACTTGCTGTGTTTCCACACTAACTAGCAGAAATCTATTATACTCTATACGTTACAGTATTTACACACAGCTGGTAATATGACATAGGGGGAAAGTCTCCCTTTGGGTTACATCACGTACCACATACACAAGATAGCACCATGACATACAGCTACAGCTAGAAAAAAGATGCACTTCATCTACTACTACAGAGCATCCCTGGCTTTTTGCTGTGTTACTAAGTGAAGAAGCAACTTCAGCCACCATTTGAGGTCAAGGAGTCAGAGGAAAGCAGGAGTGAGAACACATGATTTGCTGCATGTGAAGCAGGAGAGCAGGAGACAAGGAAAACAAGATACTAGAATTTTATCAGCAAGCGTGTATAGAAGTGAGCCTGAATATCAACTGGGACTTCACATTACGTTCATCTTTAAATTATGGTGACCTCTAGCAGTACAGCACCTAGAATATGCATTTATGTCAACATAATTATTCTACTGCATAAAGCCACCACGTAAATGTAGTATATAACACAAAAGTCTTCAAGCTAGGCAGGTCTTTCACAAGTTCAGCAACAAAACCACACAGGAAGCATTTGTGAAAAGCAATAACGTAGAAAAAATTATTGGAGATAAGTAACAACAATCTTTTTCCTTGTCTACGTTCAGGTTACCATCAGGATATACAGCTACGTTGATATTTCTGTTCTTTCCTTCTCATTCACAACTAATTTTGCTTTCCTACCAGTGCTATCTCTCCTAATCCAAGCTGGGCACGTCCCAAAGTCTGCCAGGCATCCCAGGAACGTGGGTTTCTCTGGACAGCCATTTCTGCTGCATGCACTGCTGGGAACACTTCATGTAAAGACATCAGGACCTATAAAAGAAATAGAAAAATAAGAGGAAGAAAAATAAGCAAAACTGAAAAAAAGTTTAAGTTTTCTGGGATTACCCAGGCAACAACCATTGTTTCAATAACTAAGGACCAGTTCATCTTACCTTGCTTTTTTTAGTTTAGTTGTCTGATCTCAGTCACCCAAACTCATTTCTATCCCCATGGATACAAACAGGCATGCTAGAGGATGATTCACCTAAACTATTTAAGCAACTCCATTAGAAGTAAATGAACTGCTTCTGATGGCATCTCCCCTTGTCTATAAACCCTACACTCTGTAAAAGGATAACAGAATACACCGAAGGACAAACACATGGAGAATTAAACACAATACATGTGCAACTATTGTTGAAAAACTTCTGGGTTGTATTTTTTCTTTTTAATAGAAGACTGGAACCTACTGAAGACAGTTACAGTGCACATGATATAATTACAGAAACAATCCCCTGTAATTCAGCATGGAAAAAGACTATTGTATTTAGAGAGTAAGCATTCTGCAACAGCAAAGCCTAACTTAGACATGAAGTCTATTTAAAGAAGAAAAAAAGTGGTTCCTGAAAGTGAAAATCTGTTACTCAGCAGTTACCATAGTATTTTTCTTCTTGCATTCAATCTCCATAACTAAGTCTATAAATCATAGTTAGCAATATTAATGTGGCTTAAAGCTTGCCATATGTTTCCAAGACTACCATGAGATTGGCACATTACCTGAAAACCTGCATCACACTCTGAGGTCATGATTTCAGACACCCACATGCTGTGGTGGTAGACACCACTGTAAGAAACAAATGACAACTGCATTCCTGTAGTATGAGGAGAATGTCAACCACAAGAGTAAGACTCATGCGTGGGCAACCACTTTCATCCCATCTGACCCACAAGTATGATGAATAATTTTAGAACATATTAGTACTATTGCTGAAGTGCAAAAAGCATTTATTTAATCTTACTGTTCTAAGGTATATTAAATAGATAAATATGAGTGCAGAGTAAAGGAGGATTCAAATGTGATGATCTTCAGTATTTACTGTAATTAACGTAAAGTACTTGCACACCACAGGGGTGAGTACACAAAAAAAAAAAGGGGGCAGGGGGGAACAGAGGAAGGCAAGATTTACAGAAAGTAATCCTGTACTGAAGAAACCAAGACACATCACAAGCATAGCTTCTGAAAAACCCTACATACTTCTGCTGTTTTAGTATGACTAAATTTTTCTGAAGACTAATCCTATGGCTTCTCTTTGATTCCATTTAATGGATTGTACCTTAAAATATAGAAGTACCTAAAAAATCTTTAAAAAACAACCTACAGTCATATGTCATTTTCCCCTTTTTTCCCCTCAATGACTGTGCTCTGTATCAAAGCCTGTAATGAACGTTATGTATTTTTCCAAAACTTTCAGTGCAATTACAGGTTTGAGTGCAGTTTCTCTTTTCTGCAGCAGATCTGTGAAGTGAATCAAACTGTTACTAGTGGACAGGTGTACATCCTACCAAGATTAAGTGATTCTCCACCTATCAGCTACCTTTTACATTAGTGTCTTAACGTGTTTATTTTCTAAAGAGGAAACAGAGAGTATACACTCACCAGAACATTTTTATGCATCCCAAGTATTCAGTACTTCTTACCAGTACTTTCTACTGCAAATTCCAAAATTCCAAAACATCTACGTAAATGTTTAGGGAGCCTTTTGTAGTTTTTAATGAATTTTAATGTTTTGTTTACTGAATTATGACCTCAGTAATAAAAGGCAATTATTCCACTTTCATCTATTTATGACTGTTGTGTGTACTAACGTAGACAGCTGCTTTAAAAATGCTCTTCCAGATCATGGTAGTAATTACTAGTAACTTTGGCATCAGTTTCTCAAAGTCCATTAAAACAAGTACATATTTGAATGCATAAGCATTTTGTCCAGCATAGGTAGTTTTTCCAGTTATTAACAAAATGACTCAGCAATTCTTGTCAGTCATTGCAAAAGAATAAATTTATTAATGCACACTGTTTTCCAACACTCATCTCAAGAATCTCATTGTACATATATATATGTGTATATATAAAACTGACTAGAGGGAAATGTCTTATAAGTATGTTCAATAAGTGGATTTTCAGGACTTTATTCCAACAGATTTACCATTGTTACATGCATTAAAACAAACAACATCCATGTCATACAATGACTTAGTTTAACAGATATAGCTTTAAAAGCCATACATGAGAGATCAGAAGAATTAGAAGAACTCAGAGGCAAAAAGCTAGTTTAATGTAGCAACTATCATCAAGACACTGACCAAGTATTAATAATCCAATTAACAGAGTGACCCATCCTGTTCTACCCACAATATTTTGGAAGTTTTATGAATCTGAGTAAATTCTGGTTTTAAATGACTTCACTGGATTGAGGCTGAATCACTATATATAGATACATTCCAAATCCAGTGAAACTAACCCAATTCCTTTTTCCATCCAGAAACCCATTTCAAAATACAGATGAATAAAATTCATCCTACCCATAAGCAGCTTACATTTATCCATGCTGTAAAGTGATTACCATTACACTACACAGAAATGATTTTCTGGAATTTCAATTTCTGGAGTTTACATTAATGTTCCGATAGTAAACTCGTCTCACTACACATTCCAATTTAAGGAAAAAAAATTAAAAATAATCAGCGATTATTAGCAATGTTTTATTACCTAAACTTGGGATCATAAGTCTAGTCTTGTCTTAGAAACCCTATAATTTCTTAAGTGAGAAGTCATTCGCCCAGTTCAAGATTAAAAAAAAACTCCAGAAAAGAGGAAATGGAATTATTTCCATATGAGTGTGATGGGTTTAATATACAAAAACAAAGAGGAGACATACATCTGAAATCCTGGTCCTGTTCAATGAATGTAAATTCAGGATGCAGCACTGTACAAAACTAGATCCTCATATCGCTGATGACAAAACATCTAAAAAGCTTATTAAATGGAACTAAACCTGAGTGTTTACATTTGAATTTACTTGTTTCTATAAACGTCTATAAACAATTGTATTGTGTCCCTTAAAAATCCTGTCATAGTTGCATAGTGTGTTCAACCATGTTATCTGAGATCTGAGGTGGAAGTATCACTACATAAGCAACACTAACCAGGTTAGTTCTCAGGAGTAGTACAGAATATCAGAATGTCTCATTTCAAGAGAGTTTGTTATAAACACCACAATGTATCAAGTCCTTTGATATCTCTCTTCACACAGTAAAGAGTTCCCCATGGTCCAGTCCCCAAATGTTCACAGATTTAAAGAATTTGTTGAAATCTGTTCCTTCATCTTTGTAATTCAAAGCAGTAATAAAGTAATTCAGTCAATATCTAAGAAATTCAGCTCACAATTAGTTTTACACATTAATACAGGCAGTCCTTATACATTCCTTTGAACATACACACTATGCTACTTATCTAACATTATGACCAAAACTAGGCTGTTGTTGTAGGGTCTTTTTTAAAGATTTGTGGTTTTCAACAAAAATGTAAAAATGAACTTGCATAAACATTTACTTGACACTCGTTCTTGCAATGCGGGAGCAGCTTAGGCTGGTAATGGAATATCAATTATATATACTGACAGATCTTGCATGCAAAGAAAAGTGCACCCCTAACCTCTCCACACACCATAAAAATCTGGTTTAAAATGGGTCAAAGACTAGCTGAGGGAAATGGAAAAAAAAAATCTCATCAACTTCTATGGGTTTTTGAAGCAGTTGAGCAATTCCACAATTCCCATGTGATTTTCTGGAAACACAGTTATTTCAAGTGTCTTTGACAACTAGGAACTTTAAACGCTATTTCCGCTCTTCAGAAATACTAAAAGACATTTGTCCTACATCTGTTAAAATACAGAGCTTTAAGAACTTACCATAAACATTTACAGATTCCTACTGTGCTGTTAGCATATTTATCTGAACTGGATATTAAACAACACAGTATTGAAAATGTTAAATTTGCGGCTGAGAAAGGAAATACTCATGAACTGGGAAGCTGCTATATAACCTAACATAGGATTATCTTAATAAATGTAACAGAATATAAGACAGATATTCAAGACTGTGACAAACACTCCATCCTCCAATGTTAAATTCTCAAAAGAAATTACTTTATGAATAGATTTTCCTCGCTGAAAGAAAATTAGTAGAGACCATAAAGAACCTTTGCATATTGCACAAAGTCATTCTTACCATGAATCTCCTCCCCTAGTATGTGACCCACATACCAACACAGGCAGATTTTTATAGACCTAGTACTGGTTAAGCCCTTGCTGAAGTTGTACAGTTCTTCCAAAACATTTTCATTGAGCTACAGATGAACAGCTGCAGTATTTGCATTGGTATGCTGCATTGGAATAACACAGTCAGCTCTAAGACTGTATCAGTTAAATATTAACCATAATATTTTTTGAATTAATTACATATTTTGGCAAAAATGGATTTTTACAGCTCACATTAGTGCCCTTATTAGTAGAAGGGTATCAAATTACACGTTATACTAAACAGCTTCCAGTAAGCATAAGTCATACTGCAAAAAACATCTGTAATAATTATTTGCACATACGAAAGAGAGGTTGCCAATTGAAACATTCGATGTTTGGATGTTTGGTTAAAGAGATTCACTAAAGAGTTCTATAAATGTATACTCTGTACATAAGCTTTTCTTGTGTTCTCATTCACAGTGTAATAAAAGCGTTACACGATATAAGGACGTGAAAAAAAGAAAGAGTGAACTGCCTAGCCCTGCTCTCCTCTTCAGGAAAGCAAGCAAAGGCATGGTGGAAGCTGAGGCCTAGGTTCTATTATTCTTTCTGCTTTCATTACTCTCCAATGGTTTCATTAGACAGGGAAAGATATTTTACAAGATTAATCAAAGTCACACAGCCGGTTTCTCAACTGTAGTTCTTGCACACAACAACTAAACAATGTTGCCCAGTATCTGCTGACAAATGTATTGTTTTTTTTCTTAATTTCTCAACTGATAAAGAACTGTCATGCTTTACCTGTGATTTCATCTCATAAAGTGTAGCATCCTCTGGAGTTAATTGAAGTGCTTCATCCCACTTGAGAATAGCCTCTCGGTACCTGTAGTTAAAACAACATTACAAGTGTCACTATATTTAAAGACACTGGATATTTCTATTTATATCCTGACATTGTCCTAAATAAAGTGCCATGGTATCTGATTAGTATTAATTATTTTTCTAATTATTTCCCCATAAGACATACTGAACTGTTTTCAGGAACTAGCCACTTGTTGTTTTGACCAAACAGATGCTAAGTACAACTGGCCTCAAGTGAATTTACAAATAAACACAGGAAACCTGTAGCAAAGCTTAATGACTTAAAACTAGGAATCTTAAACTAAGTCCAATTCCCCTCATTGTCAAAATCATCCTTAGCCAGGCATAAAGAAATATATTCTGAACCCAACATGACTTGATATAGTCACAATTTAAAACTTCTTTTTGTACTGTAAGATACTGTAAGAATCTAAAGACACCTAAGTAACTACAGTATATAAATATAAAAAAGAAGTTGAAGTAAACAGCCATACTGAAATCACTCAACTTTGGGAAAGCATACACTAGCTTCATATGTTGACTATTCTAGAAAACAGAACAAAACAGAAGAGTTGACCAAAACCAATAAAAATTAGCTCTTTGTCTTCAGCAATGAGGTAAAACTTGATCAAATGCATACTATGGTTTTGTCCATATTGAAGAATTGTGACGGAATAGATGCAGTTACAGGGGTACAGTCTTTCAGCCCTAAAGGTGGCATCAGATCAACATTAATGAGTCTGTGGGATACCACGTGTTCTCTGAATCTGTTTAAAAATCCACATTTGTTATGGAACTGTGCAGGAACTCCTGTATTTATATTAATTACACGGTAAAGGTATGAAAACAGTTACTCTTGGTAGATACACATCCTGCAATTTTAATACAGTATAGATAAAACTACAGTAATTTTTACAGGCACTTCATATGGAAACAGTTCTTATCTTCCCCTACTCCCCCTTCTTCCTTCCCTTTCCTTTCCCCATTTTTCAATCCTCTGGGTTTTATTACACCTCCAGGTTTTCCAGAGGAGTCACATGAAGACTTCAGAAAGTTCCGAACCAACTGAGAATAAAATATTCCAATTGGGAATAGAAAAATAAGACTGGAAAAGCAATGCAACTGAAGTCAAACACTCCTTATGATTCAGGTTTTATTAGTTTGCAAATTACACTGGTAAGTATATTTGAGTCCTAAGCAAAGCATGTTCCAATAAAGTTTCACATTTCCTCAAAGTTCAGCCACCAGCTGTGCATTTTGTCATCTCAGCTCGTTCCTTATGGGCAGGTGTGTTCACTCTAAAAAACCATCATGATATTTTCTACATACACCAGTAGAAGCTTTAAGCTGTTATTTAGTTGGTAGGGACTACTTTTTAAATAGAAGCTTACAGTTTTGTTCAAGACCTACCACAGACCTTGCACAATAAAGCCTACACGAGTAAGGGAAGTCCTCTGCTCAGTTAGGTGGTATCCTGGTCATGCAGAAAGGTACAATATTACAAGTGTAGCAAAAAAGTTTAGTAAAAAAAGATTTTGGAAAACGGAGCAAATACGGTAATAACATGAGTAGCCAGAAAGGAACTGGCATCCTGCAAGTAGAAAGATATAAGAAAAACATTGCATTTCAGGAATCATAATTATCACTTCTATGAACAGAACATTGCTCAAAGTGTCAATCTGAATGGCATAAAAATTCATAGCCAGAACATAGTACCTCTGAAGGAAGCACCAAATACAAGCTAACGTTCCCCCAAATCTTAATAGGTTTTGCTGCCAATTTGTCAGCAGTCTGCCAACAGAATAAAGATGGACAAGGGAAAAAAAGAGCAGTCCATTAACAGAAACACTACGCTATGTGTGGTGTAACTCTGTGAGCCTCAGGAAGCATGATCCAAGAGAACGGACAACAGAATGCCAGAATCACTACCCAGCCTGAGAACACAACAGGAGAGGGCTGGAGAAGGAAAAGTTTTCTGCAGGTATACACTGAACCGACTGCTAAAAGTACTGACTGCTGACTACCAGTTCACAGTGTGGAGATACCCACATGGCTGTTAAATAGTCATCTTTTCAGTGCATGTATTTCCTTGAGAGGAAAGTCTGATAAAACATGACTGCTCTATTCCTTTAAATACACAGAAAAAAGGATGTTTCCATTGCTGTTCCAGGAGAAACTAAGGTCCTTACTAAGGGAAACTGAAGCATGTTGCTTGCTCTAGTAACACAAATTTCAGAAAAAATCATTTAAGTAAAGACAGTCCATTAATGAAAGAATTTTCTACCTCATTCCTCTGAAGGAAAAGATTATATACTGTATTAAATATCAAATGACTGAAAAAGTTTCCTGGGAATATAAGGTACAATTGTATAGTCAATGTTACAGTAAATGTTTTATGAAAACCATAAACCTCGGCTGAAATAAAAAGTGAGGTAGCTCAGGAGTAGTGTTGTAAAATAAATAATTAAAACAATAGACCATTTTATGGTTCCCAGTATCTTTTTTTGAGCTGTACAGGACCTTTACCACTACGAGAAGGTAACTAGTTTTCAAAAGCAAAACTTCAACATAAATATAACATGTGCTTTGGATTTAATCAACACATATTTAATGGGCATTCCATTTGCTATTCCCATTTCTTTTCTTAGAAATTAAACAAGCTCACATACAGTAGCGTGACTAGCAGGTCACAAGCATGTATGCATCAGCTGAGCTACAAAAACTGCCATGTCACGGCGGAAGAACTGAAGTAATGAATTTTAGCTTAATGCTGCTCCACCAAGGTCTGCCAGGACTTCTTCCCATATGTCTGGTATAAAGAGCGAGCACACATGTTTTGAACACATGCTATGGCACTGCTGATACATAGCATCACAGAATATGTTGAGTTGGAAGGATCAGAGTCCAACTCTTAACCCTGCATAGGACCATCCCCAGGAGTCACACCATGTGCCTGAGAGCATAATCCAAACGTTCTTGAACTCTGTCAGGCTTGGTGCTGTGACCACTTCCTGGGGAGCCTGTTCCACCCTCTGGATGAAGAACCTTTTTCTAATACCCAACCTAAACCACCCCTGACACAACTTCAGGCCATTCCCTCAGGTTCTGTCACTTGTCGCCACTGAGAAGAGAGCAGTGCCTGCCCCTCTTCCCCTCACAAGGAAGCTGAAGGCTGCAATGAGGTCTCTCCTCTGTCTCCTCCAGGCTGAACAGACCAAGTGACCTCAGCCGCTCCTCATGCGGCTTCCCCTCAAGGCCCTTCACCATCTTCGTTGCCCTCCTTTGGACACACTCTAATGGCTTTATATCTTTCTTATATTGCAGTGCCCCAAACTACACACAATGTTCAAGGTGAGGCTCCCCAGTGCAGAGCAGAGCGGGACAATCCCCTCCCTCACCTGGCTGGTGATGCTTTGCCTGATGCCCCCCAGGACATGGTTGGCCCTCCCGGCTGCCAGGGCACTGCTGACTCAGATTCAACTTGCCATCAACCAGGACCCCCAGGTCCCTTTCCGTGGTGCTGCTTTCCAGCATCTTGCTCCCCAGCCTGTATGTAAACCCTGGGTTGCCCCACCCCAGGTGCATAATCCATCACCTGCCTTTTCATATGGTTGGTGATTGCCCAGTCCCCTAATTTGTGGAGATCTCTCTGCAGGGCCTCTCAGCTTTCGAAGGAGTCAACAGCTCCTCCCACTTTTGTACTGTCTGCAAATATACTTTGTATCACTTTGAGTCCTGTGTCCAAGTCATTTATGAAGATGTTGAAGAGCACAGGGCCTAAGATGGAGCCCTGTGGAACCCCACTAGTGGCAGGTCACCAGTCTGATGTCCCCCTACTCACTACAACCCTTTTTCCCTGACCCATGAGCCAGTTGTTCATCCATTGCATGATGTGTTTATCCAGCTGTGTGCTGGACATTTTGCCCAGAAGGATCCTGTGAGAGACAGTATCAAAAGCTCTACTGAAATCAAGAAAGATTACATCCACTGGCTTCCTATGATCAGCTAGATGAGTTACCTTGTCATAAAAGGAAATCAGATTTGACAAGCAATAACACGCATTTGAACCTTAGGTCCCTTCAGAAAAAGGGATATGAAACCTAGCACTTCCAAAACAAAAATAACTTGTCTCAAAAATAACATCTCAAAACCAAGAATGAGACTCAAAAAAACACAGATACATCCACTGGTGATCTATGATGCTATAAGCCTTCTTCAGAAATCTCTGGTATTTGCTCAAGTGGAGGTTAATCCCAAACACCAGTTGTCTTGGGATTAAATAACCAGTTGGCTGGTTACTGACTATATAGCAGCTTTGCAGATAAAAGACTTGGGGGACAAGAAGCTGGGTGTGAGCCAGCAGTGTATCATTGTGCCAAAGCAGCCTGACAGCATCCTGGGCTGCCTTAACATCACCAGCAGACATAGAGATGATGTACCTTAACTCTGGTGAGACCACACGTGGAGTGCTGGGTCCAGTTCTTCTGAGCTGCCCAGTGTGACAGGGACATGGACATCTCTGGGTGAGCCCAGCAATGGGCCACAAAGATGATTTAGGGCTTGGAGCACCTGTCATATAAGGAGAGACTAAGAGAAACAGGACTATGCAACCTAGAGAAGGGAAGGCTCAAGAGGAATTTTACCAAGGTGCAAAATTACCCATTTGGAAGTGGGGCAGGAAGTAAAGAAGATGGAACCAGACTCTGCTCAGTCATGCCCAGTGACAGGATAAGAAGCAACAGGCACAAACTGAAGCACAGAAAATTCTGTTTAAACATATCTCCATCACTGGAGACATCCAAAATGCAACTCAACAATGTCCTGGGCAACTCACTGAAGGTGACTTTGCTTTGAGCAGGAACTGAAGTAGAAAATCTCTTAGTGTTCATTAGAATTATATGATACTAAGATATCAGCAACATCAGTGTTACATGATTTAAGATATGATTCTCTCTTGGCTAAATGAAAACAAATTTTAAGTAAAATATAATCTTACAATAAATAGACCCATTAATGTTTAGA